AACATGTTTAAGTTTGCATCTCTTGGGCCAGTCCTACAGATATGTGGGCTGAGGCTGGCTGTAGCGTCTCACTCAGAGGCTAATCCAATTGACGCTGGTTTATAAACCCCAGTTTGCACTCACTTTTCCCATCAGAACTCTCCTGAAAGTCTGAGATTCCGTTTTAGACAGACTAATGGAAGTGGAGAAGTAGCGTCGCTTGTTTTTAACTTGAGGTCACATTTTTACTTTAGGACCATCTTTCCTCAGTCTTTTGGAGACTCCTGGAGGTCTGATTGTCTTTAACGGGTATGAACTGATGTGAAAATGTTCTGGGGTTTTCTTCATCTAGTGAATGGAAGGATCCGTCTCCAGTCTTGAGGCATCCAAGGGCCTTTGCAGAAGTGAGAGGGAGGTGTGGAGCAGAGGGAACCCTTTTGGTTCCCTGTGGGGACTTCAGACTTAGCATCTGAATACTCTGATCCTCAGGTCCAGCAAGCCACAGCTGCCAGTGCTCCCTTCCTTATGCCTGCATATCCATGCACTGGACAGGCTCAAACGGATGCTTCCCTAGAATTGCCCCTCAAGTCAGTCCTCTCTAAACCAGCAGGTCTGAAAAGAGTTGGAAACAGGCTGGGGTGAAGGCAGGCCTGGTGGGACCTTTGTCCACAGCCCCGGGATATTAAAGCCTTGCTTCTTTGGTAGTTTCTCTTCTAGAAATCAGATGGCCAATAAGCTTTGGATTCCTATGCCATTTCATGGCATTAGTACTTCTTTGGTTTGTTGTAAAAATGCTCTCTTTTTAGGTTAAAAGTGCACCTCTAATCCATCTCTGCAGATTCCCTAAGTTTCCTTGCTTCTAAGAAAGCCAGATGTTCAGGATGTTTAGGGAATCATTCCCAAGACCTGACCTGATACGTAGCCACACACCTGAGTGGGGACCACAGCTGTTTCCTAATGTCTGTCTCAGGAGACATAGAAAAACTCCATTTTTTAGAAAGGGTGAGGGGAGGAGGTGCTTCCACATCTTTCATGGAGCGTGGATTCTCCCACTGCTCTACAGGCCATGACTTCTTTAAGAATACTGGCAGGAAACATTGTCTTCTAAATGTAAAGATCTATAGCAGCCAAACCTGATCTGGAAAACACGTCTGAACACACGTAGAAAAAAAGCAAGATCGGAGCTTGCCGTTGTGCTCCAGCAGGGAAGGTGGACAGAATGCCCTCAGGGTCTGTTTTACTAAAAAAGAAGGAAATGGGATTGACACCCCCCCACCACACTGGTGAGAGGGGGAGGCGTGGTTCCAGAGCTTCCTGGGAGACTGTTCTCTGCAGATGGAGAAAAGTGTCTGATGTGGTCAGCCAGGTCTTGCAGGGCCAGGTTAGGTTGTCTCAGTGCCATGGGTCGCTGGTGGCTTTTCCAAGCAATTTTGGCAGAAATGGGTCAACCAGGCTCCAACACTGCTCAGGGGACCCTGACCCCTTAGTAAGATCTGGGCTTTGATTTCTCCCAACCTACTCAGAGTGGAGGGGGCTTGATTCAAAGGCCCAGGACTCAGGGGGACATCACAGAAATAGATGGACACCTATGTTTGTTCTTAATGCTTAACCTAAGACCTGTTCTCCATAGCCACTGATCTTACCAGGCTTTCGGAGAG